GGGGGGGGTGGGCGTTTGCGTTTTCCTAGCGGAAGTAATCATGTGTTTGCGTAAGTCAAACATCAATTCTGAACCAATAAAAATACTCTTGGGAAAACAAAGCGTAAGTGGTGGACAGAAAGGGACAGGAAACTTTACAGGTGATCTAGAATTGGAAACAAAATGTACCTCGAGAAGATATGGCAGAGAGAGGGGGGCGCAACTCTACCAAATAAATCTGTTCACAGATTGCATGATCGCACCCCACATATTCCTAATTAACCAGAATTAAAGTACGATTTTTAGCTTTAAGAAGGGTCCACCGAGGTTAAAATATTTTACTTTAATCAAATAATTTGCTAAAAAGTGGCAAACTCGATTGATAAGACTGCATCGGGTACACATGTTGTGTCCCCCAGAGTCACAGAACACACAAGACTTTATAGTTCAAAACTTTCATAACTTTCAAAACATTCTCATCGAAAGAAAATCACTTCTAAATTTCTAGTAGTTATACCTTTAGTGACCTAATTTTTGGTTTGAAAAATAGAAAACGTCAAATAGAGCACAACTTTCTTTTTATTTCACATATTACTTAATAACAGTCAGCTACTTAATAAGCTTAAAACGGAACATCATTTTCATTTTTAGAACAGTCACATCAAAAAACATCATTCCAATTAGGCGTTGGTGGTTTACGTCAGTTAATACCTGGCGCCCGCCACCTCTGCCGCCCAGACGAATACCGAGACGACCTGACCGAAGAACAGCAGCAGTAAGGGGGGCCGCAAGGCCTCCAGCCGCAGCGGCCCCGCCCGCTCCGCCTCTTTTGAGAGTTTCTGTGCTGCGTTGACTCTCGCCTTCCTGGCGCGCCGGGTAAACGCGCCTTCCCAGTGCTTGAGCAGGCCGGCCTCGCTGACTCGCATCAGGCCTCGGCGCAGGGGCTCGGCCAGCGGGGACATGCGCGGCACGAACAGCTGCGGCACGAGGGACTCCATCGGCACGTCTATCAGGTGAAGCTGGCGGGACTCCACCAGCCACTGTGGGATGTGCTCCCGATGCATGATGAGGCTCGACTTTCGTCCTCGAGCCACTGATTTAATCTCGCTGAGTATCTGTGGAATAAACACTCCCCAGGCCTCCGACAGGTTGAGGTATCCACGCGAGAGTTCGAGGTACTTGGACACTTTGATGGGCAGGCCGCTCGCGAGGAGCTCCTCGACGGAGTTGATCTCGCCCACCGTGGGATGCTGCAGCATCTTGAGGAGCAGGCCCTGGTAGGCGGCGGCCAGGACGACGCAGGCGAGCATCCAGGCGCCGAGCAGCGGGTGGTGCGAGCGCCGGCCGGGCGGCGGCTGCGCCAGCAGGGGCGCCAGGGCGCGCAACAGGGCGGGGGCCTCGGCCGGGCCGCACGCCGAGGACCGCGTCAGGACCACGGCCACGCTCAGCGCGGCCAGCAGCGTCAGGCACCACAGCGCGGGCGGGTACTCGGCCACCAG